CACTTAATACCTCTGTTTGCAACAGTGAAATGAAAGGGTGGCTGATACCACAAAACCTGGTTTCAATCCCATATCTATTAAATAATATGACGACCAGATCCACTTCATCATTACCAGTGTCAGTACTTTATTAGTATCAGTTTTGATATCTATTCTTGAATTGCCAAAAGCAGTACATGTGCTATATTGCAAGGGAGAGGAGTATTTAATGATTCATGAGATGAATTAATTATTGAAAGGCTACTTCTGAAACCACCAAATAATTTGCCAGACATGAGGCATTTCATATTTTTTCTGTTAATGACTAAACCACACTAATGTTAAAACACAGGACTTTAATGTACACTTCACAAGTGTGAAACACACTATGAGAAAAACTGTTGCCTGATAATCAGATTTCATTTCATTTTATGATTAAATAATTGGCATACAGGTCGTTCCTTCTACGTACGTGCTACAGTAGTTGCTGACATCTTTCATAGGCTTAAACTAAGGAATAAAAGTGAATAAAATCAAGTTACGGGTGGGCATTATGGATAAAATCAAGAGCTGATCAATCCAATGGCAGAAAATTATGTTTGTAGATGCAATTTTTCATGTAAAAAATGCCTCACATTCTCTGGTTTCAGCTTCTCAAATGTGAGGATGTGCAGTTTTTTATATGATAGTAAATTATGTACTTTTAGGTTTTGGACTGACAATAACATTAGTTACAGGGTAGTCTTGACTAGGCTTTCTCCCTTTCTTAATCTTCCTTTTTCTCTCCCTGCCCATCCCTACAGGGTGAAGATGAAGATGAATTCATTATCTGTACTGTGTCTGTTACTTCTTTTGTTTCACACCCATTTCTCATTGGCTAAGAAAGGGGGCGGTGGCTTTGGGAAAAGCTTCAGCTCAAAGAAGTTCCCTACATCAAACCGAGGCACTAATACAGGCCAGAAAAATAATCAGGGTGGATACCCCAAACAGCCTGGACAAACCAATCAAGGAGGCTACCCTCCGCAGCCAGGAAGACCTGGGTATCCGGGCGGCTACCCTCAGCAGGGGGGTGGAGGAGGGTACCATAACCAGTATCCAGCACGGGGCTCCCCATATGGAGGAGGTTATGGCAGTCATGGAGGTTATGGCAGTCATGGAGGTTATGGAGGTTATGGAGGTGGATACATCAACCACAACCCCAACAACAAAATCCTGAGCCCTCACTATGGTGGCAGCTTTGGTTACGGGGGCTACGGTGGTGGGCGTGGCTCTCCCTTTTCCAACTCAGTTCAGGCAATGGGGGTGTATCCCCAAGATAAATCCAGAGGGTTTGGGCGCAGTGCAGTAATGGCAGCAGCTGGAGGGGCGATGGCAGGAATGGCTCTGGGCTACGGGCTAGGGAGGTTCCCTCGTCCTCCCTTCAACTTCCACAGCGCCCATGAAGAACATTACTACAACCACTACATGTACAGGAAATATGGTGTCAAGTCTACTGATACCAATGACTACAGCAGAGACTACAAGTACAGCCAACCATCTGAGACCTATGACAGGTACATGGACTCATGCATGAAGAGAACAGACGTTCTGCCTGAGGAGAATCAAAAGCCAAAAAACAAACCAGCTGCCACCACCACCACTACAACTACTGTTGTCACCTCAGCTCCAGACACTGGCACAGGCAGCAACAAAACAGAAACCAACAGCACTGCAGCAGAACAGTCCTCAGCATCTGCACCTTCCACTCCTCGCTCTCTGAATCAGCCTGAAGCCAGTCCTGTGCCTCCAGCTTCACAGGCTGTCAGTGAGGCTGATGACGATGATACAGTCAGTATTGTGGAGATCGGCTATCCGGCACTGATTGAGCAGCTGAAGGCCAGGAGATGTTTGGAGCTGTACATGGTTTACTCTGAAAAGTACTTGAAGAGAGAGACAGGAGGGGTGCAGGGACTGGAGATGGGCTTGCAAGGGCTTTTAGCAGTGGTCACCAGTACAATACTGATGCTACTGAACAGCAACATACTAATGTTGCCGCACTGAGGCCTTCATTAACAGTGAAAATGATGGAGAATGTGTCCAAGAATTTCACCAAACAGATGGAAAACATTTATGGAGGGATTAATCTCTTACAGTTCCTTTTTAGGCTGCATGTTTGAACTATGTATTAATGGAAAGGAAATCAAAAGTGTTGCAACAAATTGCACTCCCCTTTTACTCCTCCTCTTCTGAAAGAGAAAGGGCCCATTAACTGTACTCTAATGCACGATTGTGATGGTGGTGAGAAATTTGATCCATTAATGTCCATTTAGATTTAATTTAACAGGCTCTCTAGCCATATAATTGATGAGTGGCACCAGCTCCGACTCGTCTCTCTGTGCTTTTAAAAATTATTTACTGGCTGGGGTTTTTGCCCTTTCTATGTCTCAGAGGAAACAGCATCTGAGAGGGTTAGTTGGCACCCACGGGTCTGGTACAGTCTCTGTCATGGTGATGATCTGTGTAAATAAACTGCTTTGCAATGATAGAGATGTGCTTTAAGTATGATATAATTTCATCAACTCCAGACACATTTATGTTCAATGACTCTGTTTCAAGGGCAGAGTTGGAAAACTGAACATGTTCAATATTCAATTGGCCTACTATCACCAATACTGCTAGTATCAGTGTTTTAGACTGGGAGGTTTTACACTATAAGCATGACTGGGTGTTTATAATGGATCATATCTACTGATGTGTTTATAGCGTGAAACATATGTGAACTTTTATCATATAAGGTCCACTGAGCCACAGAAACCCAAACCAAAAAGGCTGATGATTTTATCTGTGGGTACTTATTTTATATGGATAAACAGATTCTCTAAACAGACAGACAGTATATGCATGCTGTTGTCCTAATACGCCTAAAATGACAGACTTTGAACTCAATGCAAGCAAAGATCACTTTTTCTGAATGTTTATTCATTTTTCCATGTGTACTGCCTTCACTTTGTAAAGTATATTGTATATTTTCTCATATTTTTCTATATACTTGCCTCCCGTCCCTTGTCTGTCCAGTGTTTTGCCTCTCATCCCTGTCTCTGGGGTAGCTTGTGATTGTAGAAGGGCTCTTAAAGTGTAAGACTCCCGAACCACTAATTCTGCAATACATCTCCCAAAGCTACTGAGTGTTATCTTGCATTATCAGCTGAGCTTCACCAAGCTTGGATATCACAATAATCATTTTTATGGAATTAATTATGGAAGCTGATGACTTCAAAAAAACATTTTAAATAGGTACTGTCTGGAGTTTGAATTGCAAACAGTTCATATTCAAAACTTCTTGACAAAACACAAACGTGACTAACACACAATTCCTACTACTACTACTACTACTACTACTACTACTACTAGAAACAATGTTGGTATAAAGTCGTCTCCTCGACCTTAGCTTAGTCAATCAGGGAGAAGCTTCACCAGTAACCTGCCTTTTGATTGTTCTGTTTAGAAATCTCTCGCCGCTCTTCGCGATTCGCTTATCACTAAACTATAATGACAACACTTTTTATAGTTAGTAGACAGTAAAACAATCCCTGAACCAAGTGGTAAAAAAAACAAAAAAAACCACAGTGAACTTTTAATGTGTTGTCGTATGTAGCCAATGTGATCATGTGTCTGGCTTTGAATGTATCTGAAAATGCACATTAATCACTTGTAAAGACATGAATGCCTTCTCCTGTGACGGTTCACATTTACTGTGCTGTTGGAGGTTCTACTGAACACTGAGCTTTGACTCGCATTTTTTGCTTGTCTGGTCAAATAAACTTCTTAACTTTACTAATTTGCATTTGTGGATATTTATTTGATTACATTTAGAACTGGAGGTGACATTTTGACTGAAAACCAGCATTATATGAAAAGCTTTTGAGTAACAACTTGATGATATAACACATGTATGTGTATGTGAAGTTAAGATAATCTGGGTTAACTGTTTTAGTGGACTGAGCTCAAATTATTTGACGCTTGATAACCTTATTATAATTTCAAAGGGAAACCTCAAGAATTTATTTTATATTCGATTTTTTTTTTAATCTGAAAAAGAAATAATGTAAGTCTTAACATATTCAAATATATTTGTTTTTTGTATTGTTTTTGTGCATTGGATGGTATAAAATACATGGTATGAAATAGCAGAAAATGGAAATACTCAAGTGTAGTGCCATCAGACTTGTTTGTAAGTATACATATATGGCAAAATATAGCTCTGGGTTAAGTGTAAACCAAAACTCAGACAGTAAAAAGTCAAGTCTGTTGTAGCAACATGAAGAACAACACGAGGATGTGGCGACACTTTGCGTTTCAGGAAATGAGCCTGTGATGAAGTACTGAATGTGAAGAACACTGCTGTATGTTTACTGTATGTATGTTTAATATAAACACACACTGCATCATCATCAGATTCTGAGATGGTTACTACAGCACTGTAAAGGACAGAAGAAAGCAAACACGAGCACTTGTGTGATCGGCTGCTGCTCTCATGAAGTGGATATATGATGCAAGGCTGCAGGATGTTATTGTCAGCTGAAAAGCTGAGTCATGCAACACTATTCTGCTGTTATGGAGTTGCAGCAGTAAACCCTCCATTATTCTGAGGACTTCTTGTCCATGTCAGATGAAAGGTTGTTCTTGAAAGATCAATGTGCCGATTAATGGTAGAGAGATATGGTTGAAAGCTCCGGAACAGAGGAGCTTGAGTAGATATTGCTTTTGGTTCCTGCTGTTTAGTCAAGAATCAATTGTTCAAGTTCAAAACTCTGTGTTTTCCTAAAAGTCTAAACTGTTGTCACTTAAAAATGCACATAGACGTTGGGTATCTAAACATATCTAAACAGTGGATCATTCACTGTTATTTTAGCAGGTAACATCTGAATAAACAATGTAGACAATAAAATTCAACAGAAATGTTTGTTCTAAGTTCTTTTTACTTATAAAACAATATTAAACATGGGACCCTATTTTGCTCTTTTACATAAAAGTCTGAAGAATGGCATAAACATGTACTTTAATTAGGTACTGTACAGATATACAAGTATACATTGAAAATGTAACATATGCAGAGTAGACAATGTGAATCAGAAGGGAAATGATTATGTAATGATGAAATATACTGAGAAATGGCATTATCATATTTAGAGTATAGCTGCTCTTAAACTCCGGTCTGGAAATTATTTCTTGAGGTAGACTTAACCTGATTACACATCTATTCTTTTTATCCTGCTGTCTTCATAGATTGTTTATGGAGAAAAAACAATGAATCATCACCGTCATTAGTATGATCATCTCCACTACAACCATCAAAAGTATAAAAAGACTGGACACATTAAAAGGAAAAACAGGAGTGTAGGATACAATTGAGATAGTTATTCATTGACAAATATCAACAGGAGGTGTGTTGTCTTTGTTCATCAGTACACCTGCAGACTGAAGCACGGTGTCACACTGACATGTTGTAGATGTTAAATGGGTCAAATTCCTCTTCCTGTCCTCATGGAGTGTCACTGAAGTCTCAAATTGGCCACAGCTTGTCATCTCTCCAGGGTCATATTTTAGGTCACATTTGACTTTAAATCAAAAATGGTCCTGTGTACAGTCAGGTCGTGGGTTATTTTTGGTCATGGTTTGGTTCTGCGTCTTCTTTTGGAATCTCAGCTCTGTCTCCAGCTCTACATGACTGCCATCCAGTGGCCCATCAGCAGAGACATCAGGGAGCCGATAACAACAATGATACTGTTGTAGATGGGGCCACTGGATGCGCCAGTGTAGTACTCCATATCTCCAGAGCCCTCGGGCTCATAGCCAGGCCTGGGGCCATAGCCACCGCCACCACCATATCGTGGGTAGCCATAGCCCCCTCCATATCCTCCATATCCACCGAATCCACCACCATAACCCCCATAACCTCCACCATACCCATGCCCATACCCAGGGCGGCTCAAAGCAGACCCGATCATTGCTCCTCCTATGGCGCCTGCTGCAGCTGCCCCTGCTACTTTCCCTGCACTGGGACCACTGCCCTGGACAGGTGCTGGTCTGTAGGCCTGTCCGCCACCTCCACCCCAGCCCCGGCTGTAACCTCCTCCACCTCGGCTAAAGCCACCACCTCCACGACCACGCCGGGCCTCAGAGCTGGGTAACAGTGTGGCAAGCAGCAGCAGGCAGAGGGCCACTGTGAGGGGGAGTTTCTGCAGGACCAACATTATTCTTATTCTGTAAAAATAAGACAAAGGAAACATCGTTAGGACGTGTGAATTCCTTAATGGAGAGTATCTGACTTAGTGTCTAACCACTAGAAACGGACTTGTTCACTTTTCTTTTGTTAGGTTTAGTTAGTTGCATGTAATGACATTATCATTTATCAATTATTATGATTCTGGACAGTGGTGGAAAAAGTATTCAGATCCTTTACCTAAATAAAAGTAATAAGTAATAACACACTATCAATACTCAACACAATAATGTGTTACTGATAATAATAGGTAATTTATAATAATTATTGTTAATAATAGCAGTTAATTTATAGAACACTTTTCAAGCAAAAAACACTTTCCAGAGTTGAAAAAATAAAGATAATCACAGGTAATAAGTAGCATTAAAAAATGTATTTATTATTATAGAAAAGGCCATCTCATTATAAGAAATATATTAGATGTTAAGGAAGTCTTCATAACAAATAGTAAATCATAACAAATATTTTAATAAGCTATAAATCATACATTCAAAATTTAAAATAGCTCATATTATCAGGCAAACATTGGGTAGTTTAATGCATAAAAGTGCATATTTTAGAATTTCATCATATTCATGGGTGCAAAATCTTGATTTTTAAGTAATTACAAACTACAGATGTTCAATCAGTGCAGGACTCCTGGAGTAAAAATTACAGTATTTCTCTGTAAAATGTAGCATAAATGAAAGTACTTAAGTATAAGTACTTCATAATTGTACTTCAGGAAGTAAATACACCTAGTAATATTCCATACCATTGCTTAGGGTTAGGACACACAGTGCTCTCACACACACACATACAGAGACTGATGAGATGTTCTCATTGCAGCTTTAGTCCTGCTGTGTGGTATTTTTACATCTCTGACAAATTAAGAGCCGTACAGATCACTGGTCTTAATCCAGCTTTAACAAACACATCTTACACAATCACTCTTGCAACACAATTTAACACTGCAGCTGACATGGGATCAGATAGATTTCATAATCTCCAAGTATATAGTGTTACAAAGAATGTATGTGCAGACTATGTAAATTCACATATTATACAGTAATAATATAATATTATAAAGTGTAACATAATATAAAGCATTGTGTGTTAGATATGTCACTATAATTTATCACTGTCAATATGACATTCAGTATTTAGTCATTATAATAAATAATAAAAATAATCAATTGAATATTGTGACATTTTCTTTCAATAGAAAATTGGTTTGATTAAGCAAGATGATGATTGATTAAGTGAACTTTTAAACGACTCTTGGACTTTTTTCTCTCACAATCTTGACAATATTTTTTCTAACAAATAATTACAAAATGTTAGGACTATAAGCAGTGGTGCAATATTTAGTCAAGTACTGTATGTAAGTATAACTTTGACAGAGTGGCTTCCTTCCACTTTATACTTCAACTCCACAACAATTCTGAGGAAATACTGTTCTACATTTATTACATTTACAGATATTACTGGTAGTTACTAGTCTTTCAGATCGAGGATGCACATTTGATAAATTATGATGGATTATCGTAGATTAAAGTACGCAACTGTAGCCTATATGAAGCTGTTAAAATTGACTCCACCTAAACCAACTGCAACACCAAAGTACTGCTCAATAATAAATGATCCCAAAATAAAACAGGGACCATTCTGCATCATGACAATTTTCAATTTTTATGCTTCAAGTACATTTAGTTGTAAATACTTTTATACTTTTACATGAATCTTTTTTTTTTCTTATAGAGGAGTATTTGTGTAGTGTGGTATTATTATTTTTACATAAGTAAACAATTTGAATACCTCCACCACCACCGACTACAGTGTGTTCCTAGTGAGCAGCATGACATCATTTGCTTTGCTGTCGTCAAACTACCCTCTAATCTGTGTCCTCTCAGAAGATGAGTTGAGCTATAATTACACGGGGTCACTTAGTTTGAGAATAATCCAGTAACTCTCAGATTACAGCCACAGTAGCCTAGACTCACAGAGAAGATGAAATACTTGATTTAAATTGGAGCACCATGGTCCGTTTCCCAGTGTATCATTAATTGTGCTTTCTAGAGATGGTCCCTAATTTGGGCAGCAGAGGACGTATTAACATTACATCCAAAGAAAAAGGGAAATACACTGACAAAAACAACAGAGGAAAATAAGGAACATCATTTCAACCTGCTGAAAATCTTCATACCAGTTTATACTAAAAAAAAAAGTAACACACCTTAATTCTAAAAAATGATCATTTTCTTAGAATAAAACATCTCACCTGTTGAGTGGCTGTTTTCAACGGAGAGGAACCAGTGCGGCAGTTGAGATGATGCTCCTCTTCCACAAAGTGCGTGTTTGCAGCTCAGACTCCTCCTGACTGTCTGTAGGGAAGTATGTTTCAGGGCCAGCCTGTTATCCTCCAGACAATCTCAATCAGGTGGAATGGATCACTCTGACTCACACCTGCTCATTGGCTGAATGTACAGTAAGCTGCTGTACCACAGACAACAGGCATATAAATACCTGAGTGTCTGTTTCTAAATTTGTCTCAATTATTTAACTCCCCCTTAAGTGAACACGTAATGAGCTCTCCAGAAGCTTCGACCATGAGTGCTCGCCGTCAGCAAACTGTGTTATAATATCATTTTAAATTATACAACAAGCTTTAAACATCATTACATAACATGCTCGGCTTTTAACCCACTGACCTGAACGAGACAGAGGGAGACCACGGATATATATGTACATCTTTTCTCAAGATAACTTTTTTTTATTAAATAACAATCATTGTACGAAAAAAAACAAAACAAAAAAAAAAACTACATTTTCTAAGTAGTAGCATGAGTTCTGAACATTTTAAAGACTGAGTTTCTTCATTGTTTTGTAAAAGACAAAATACAAAAGCAGGCAAGTCTTAACAGTCACTAAAAATACAACATGCACACTTTCAGAACCACACACACACACACACACACACACACACACACACACACACACACACACTTGATGACATAGTCCACTGTGTACTGCGAGATTTTCAACAAAGGTGTTGGAAATACTAAAACATCGTTCTGTACGCACACAGATAAAAGCAGACATATGCAAAGCGCTGTACATGTGGAGGCAAACTGTACTGCTTTGAAACGATCTTTTGCACATTTAAAACATTCTCCATTAAAGATAATCAGTATAATTCACAGTCTTGTGGGATTTCACTTGTGTTTTGTGTTTTTTGCGTCATTCTTTGTTGGATGTAAAAGGAAAAAAAAAAAAAAAAAAAAAATCCACCCATGAATATTCTTCAACAAGGCGTTAAGACTTCGTGTCTTCTGACATTGTGTGAAGAATGAATATTAAAATTGTTATTCTGTCAAATACTATTTTACTGTGCTTAAAATCTCATTGTCATCTTACTTAAGGCAGTAAAACAAGTAAGAACATTCAGATAGCCAGAAAATAAAAGGGGCCTAAAAGTGTTAAATTATTTCCAGATGGATTTTTCTCTTTAAAGGAAAAGTTTGACATTTTAGAAAATATACTTATTTGATTTTTTGCAGAGTTTGATGAATTGACTGTGGAAAAAAAAAATGTTACAGGAGGTTATGTGCCACACTAGGTCTCAAGGTCTCAACCAAGATATAATCTGGTGCATAAACCCCTGTAAAACTACAACTTGTCATTTCCCTTTTCCAATCTTTATGCTAAGTTTAGCTAAGCTAAGTGGCTGGTTGTAGCCTCATATATACAGTGCAGAGTGGCATCAATCCTCTCAGCTAACTGTCAGCAAGAAAATGAAGGAATGTATTTCCGAAAATACCAAACTATTCCTTAACTTCAATCATAAAATGTCTTAAACATTCAGTTTGTACGCCTGCAGAGAAGGCACAACTGTTGTCACCATCAGACTGATGGTGACAACATACACACGTTCCCTTCACATGGCCTTCAATAACCCCTGCAGAGAAGTTCTCAGCTGCAATAAAAAGGGGAGGGTCAATCATATTCATTCTTTCAATTACAATATTTAACAAATTCTGAAAAAGCGAGGACCATGAAAACACCCAGTGCAATCCGGCACTGGATGGTGTCAGCTTTTGGGGCCACAACCTTTTGCTTATGGTCTGGTCAGTTTCACATTTAACCTGAACTGTGTGGTCTGACATGGTTCTACCATAGCTTTGTACTTTCCTGTTAAAACCCCCAAAATGTCCTTCTAAATATTTCATCAAAGTGTGTGTCTTTGTGCTTGAAGAAACCTTTAACAGGCACTTTGCTAAGAGCATATATTATGAAGTTTGTGCTTTAAATTGATTTTGGGTATCACTGTGCAGTCTGGGGGGGGTAGACAGAAGACAGGACGTCACATTTTAGGCTCATTCTGCAAAGTACTTTGTTGCAAAGACATTAAAATTACTCAGGTGTAGAGGAATGTCTTTCTGTATGTACTGTACATAAGGACAAAGAAATATAGAGAAAAAAGCAGAGATGAAATGATTGAGTTTCAATACACTTTACAAGGTTGTGAGTCATCATGACTCTCAAGACTATTGCTGAGATGGTCACACTTAACATGCACACAAGTCATGGCATGTTAAAGTTTTGTCTGTAAATTGAATGATTGATTTGAAAAAGACTCCATGCAGAAGCAGGGATTCAAAGGAGCAGGATAATCAGGTTCTTGTCAGCTAATTCTCAGGCACAGCTGGGTGGAGGATATTGTACTCTGGGAAAGGTTTTGACAGTTTGATGTGCTGGAAGGAGTCCTCACCATGAGCAGATCAAATACAGGTTGCACCCTCTGGAAGACACCGGAGCTGTTTTTCAATTATACACCGCAGGTAATTATACCTGCAAGCACAAGCAGACAAATGCACATAGAGAATGAATAAATGTCTGTGTTGGAAAATATGCATTTTATATATAATAATTATAATACTATGTAGACACATGTATGACAGTATTTTCTACTGGGCATGTTGAAGACTGTGGCCTATTATAGGCAAAACAGAAAGAGGTAGGTTTTACATCTTCTTGTACCTTCTCCTGAGTTTCTGCACCTCTCTGTCCTCCTCCTCCTTCAGCTTGGTGATGAAACTCTGCAGGACAGGCATCTCAAACTTGATATACTGTGCCACCTGGTGGAAGAGAAGAGAAATGTAATGACAACGCAGAAAAAAGAGAGGCTAATGTCAGGTAAATACAGGGGTATTGCAATGATTTTGTGTATGCAAATTGTCACACAAAATGAGTAAGACATGATAATTCACAGTGAGAGTCACATCTCTAGATATCTGTGTTCCCTTTAAAGAAGAAGTTACAGTGAATGTGGTGATTTACATCATATGTGACTTCTTCCCCCAGATCTTCTTCCATGAGGAAAACTTTACAGACCAGCTCACATGGACCCTGCATTACTCTCAGCACCAGAGGATAGTCACTCCGCTTCAGCTTCACACGCTCTGAAACATCAACACATCCAAAAAGGTATTGACTGACAGAACAAAAACAACAAATAATACATGTACATTTATTGCCATTGTAGTATTTTTCTCATTAAGCCTGAATTCCATTTCCACTTTTATATACTGGACAAGTAATTCACACTCACCTCCGCTTGCATGGACAAGGTAGAGTGCAAAATCATCTGGGCTGTTTTCAATTTTAAACTTGTTGAGGAGGACTCGTAGCACCTGAGGTGTTCTCATGCAGCTGTTGATGCGGACATTAGTCACTGAGCCATAAGCAGGAGTAAACACTGCTGTCTGAGGGAGAAAAAAAAACAGTCAAATGAATGAATTTAATTTCCTATACAACTTTATTAGTATTTATTTTTGTACAGATATACACATGCATGGGTTAATGTGTGCAAAGCCAAACTAATTAGTAAACTTTAAAGTAGTTTAAAACAAATTTGGTAACACTTATGTCTCCCTATTTAGCATTTATAAGCAGTACATAAACATTTAATAAATAATTTATAACACACTGTGACTATATAATGAATGACAATATGGTAAAGTGCATTAATTAACACTAAAATGTCATTGTATGTGCTTACATCTACTCCTTAGTGTGTTAAATATAATTCATAAATGTTTATATCCTGCTAATAAATGCAGTGTTACCACAAATTTAAACATCAACATCAAGTCCAGCATCCATTTAGAAGTAGCACATAACTCTCTGAAACTAACTAGAATTAAATGATTAGAAATTATTGCATAATTTTTTCAGACCAAGAATCCCCTGACAAACACGTGGGGCTGGCTTCACCTTATGGTTGTAGAAGTGTCCGTTGATGGAGAAGCGATGGCGTCGAATTTTCCTCTGGTCGCTCGGTGACCGTCGCTGGCCCCGTCTTAAGACTCCGGCATCACTCTTTGTCCTGAGGAGCTGAGCGGAGCTCTCACTGTCCTCTGTACAATCAATAATCATTACCTTAGATCATCGGTTATTATTCAGTGTCCTATAAAAATGTTGAGTAATTGTCAAAGAAAGGACTGACAACACGACTATTCCTGAGAGAACCATTTTTGTGTTTGCAAGCTTAAAAACAGGTGGGGATATCTTAACGTCAAATTTAATCACTGACATCATGAGAGTTAACATCACATGGACAGAGCTGGAAACAAAAGTTGTGTTTCTAATGTTTCAATAAAGACAAGATGAAGCAAATATGAGAGAGAAACGTGGTGCTCGTCTCTTTTTCTATTTCTTAATTTCCACTGTCAAATGTAAGGTTTATGTTTTCATTCCAGCTAATGGAATTACACAATATGCCCTTTTCAAGGCTTGAAAACAAACTCCAAAACAAACTAAACAAAAAGAAGGTTTTTATTGTTGTTTAATAGTTGCCATAGAGATTAGGTTTCTACCCAGCAGTGATGGTGTGTTTATATAAAGCAGCTGAGAGGAAGTTAGAGATCTGAACTACAATGTTTTGAGAGCTAAATTCATTTGAACTCAATAAACCTCAACCAAAGTTTGTTTTGTTGTCTTTGCAACTGATAAGACAACGCAAACAAAACAAGTGAAGATCAGTAATAGGTCGTTTCTACTGTGTATACTTGGAATGGATGTATGGTGTTGTTCACTGCATCCTTATTACAGCCAAGGGAGTAATATACAACATTACTGTCAGTAAAGCCACTCACCTTCTGTCTCTTCTTCTGTCATACCGTTGTCATTGGGTTGGTTGTCGGGTGGCGTCACTTCCACTGTGGGCGGGCTCTGCGGTGTCATCTGTTGACCATCTGTGCTGTTGGGGGAACTTTAAAAAGGAACCAAGAGAGAGTTTAGGATTAAAAGATGAAGACACACGGGGCCAAAGAGGAAGAGCTGCAAGCCGGCAAAACTGTAAAGACATAACCGAAAGTTTTTGTAGATATAAACTGTTTAATTTAATGACACTGGGTGATTATGAAATAAAGGTTAAGGTTGTTACAGTACAGATTAGTAAAGTAAGTAATAATGTTAACAGTGTAAGAATGAGGACTTTAACTTTAGCAACATCACCACTGCAAACACTGATACAGGGCCAGGTTTCATTTCCTGCCAAGAAGCATCATTTTGTTTACCACTTCTACACCACACACTGTGTGTACGTCATATCCCTGCTGTTCTGCTTCAACTTGTGACAGCCGTTTCTCTTAGTTGATGCAGTCTGTATGTGTTGAGATAAGCCATCATGATTTGTGAGAGTCATTTTGGAATTTTTGGTTCTAATGTAAACTTCTGCATTATCAAAACCTGATAGCCAGGGCTTTTTTTGTTGCTGGCAAATGCTGCTAACTGGCATTCAACCTAATAAAATCACCTCTACAGCTGTGGCTACAAAAGTGATGTAGTTCATTCAAACTTAACATAATTTTTATTTACTTGCTGATCGGTGGGAGGATGAAGGGTGGTAGGATCTGTTGTTGTTCACGTGTTCACTGTTGTATCATTTGTACTCATTGGAATGCTAAAGAACTTTTTCGTGTCTATTTTAGGAAGAGCTGAAAATGGGGCTTCAAGCCTAATGACACAGACTAACCTGCAGGAGCTTGGGGAAACATCCAAAACTGAGCCAGCGGTTTGGATTAAAGGGTTCACTTTTGTCTATGGATCATTGCCAATTAGTGTTTTATTCAGTGATGTAACAGCCTGTGTATTTGCAGGGAAATAAATCTGCAACAATAAATAATCTTAAAAAACATCAACAAAATTTAATCTACACTCGGTGAAGAGACATTAAATACCAGGTCATTTCTCATCAGACAAACTAGACATAATCTATATCTGCCCTCGCTGACCCACTGTGTATCACCATTTCCGGTCAGTGAGGTGTAACTGGATCTGTCTGGATCTCTTACCCTTGACTGTCCAGATTACAACCCGAGTGCCAGGACGTGGAGGAGGGGGGTGGTCGAATTCGCTCGTGGTCATCCTGCATCTGAAGCCTGATTGGTCGCCGCAGACCCCAGAAGATATTTAGCAAGCCCTCGACAATTAGCTCCCCCTCTTCCTGTTGGGAGAGAGGAAAGAAGCTGTGATCAATGTGCGTGCACACAAATACAGACAATGGACAGTTATTACCCCTTTGGCCTGGAGCATATAATGGGTATGGTATATTAAATTGCAAATGACTGAGAGCCAAAGTGAAAAGACGATAGGGAGACATTCTGACACACACACTCGCACACACACACACACACACACACACACACACACACACACACACACACACACACACACACACACACACAGCTTTAAATACTCACCTCTCTGTGTCTGAGCTGTAGATTCTGCCCTTCATAGTAGAGGTTGTATGTCTTAAGATGGGAGAGGATTGTTGCCCTGGAAACAGAGATTTTGAATCATGGATGAGGAAATGCTGTTTAAAAAGGAACTTGCTGCTTATTTTGGCCCACTCACTACAACTCACAACACGTTTACATTTATGTTGCCCATTTTCCAAAGCATATGAAGTGTGGTTAGATTGATTTCCTGCTCTCAAGGCAGAATATGAATTTAATTTCAGCACAGTTTGAAAAACAATTTATAAAGACTTGAAATATGTTAGACAAAGGTAATTCTGTATAAAGGTTTGTTTCTGATGGAATTTGTATGTGCTTGTACGCGTGTCTCATCACTGTACACTTTCTCCTGCTGTACCTCAGGTCTCTCTTGCAAAAGAGATCTTGATCTCAGTGAGACTACCTGATTGAATAAAGATTATAGCAATTATGAAATTAATGATCTTGACTACATTACCATGTGTGACATTAAAACTGACAAAAAATATTAAATTGACTCTTCACTGTGACCGTGATTGTTATGCATTTTACATATGTTGCATAACATAGAACTAGCAATTTTCAAGCCTCTGCATGTTGATTTTTAATACTGTATTGACAGCATGACAAGTGTTAAATGAGTCTTAAAACCTGTATAAGATAGATGTCCCCTCCAAGTACTTAAACACTACATACTTCAATAAATCAATACATCAATATGATATAAAATATATAAAATGTAGATATGCTTAGAAAATGGTCCTCAGGGAACTTAAGTATGCACAAGTTTGTGAATAGGTAACAGGCACAAAAATCTAAAATCACCAGCGTGGTGTTCTAACAACCTTTCTCACAAATTGTTATTTTAATCCATAGACTGACTGTTTTAAACATATACAGAAGGTTAATAAAGGTTAAAGTGACTGTTTGAGATAAGTTTGTCTACAGGCGTTTGTATATGTGTATGTGTTCATGTGAGAAACAGTGGGGTTTTTAATCCTTACTTGCTGATGAACTTGTTCTCTCCAATCTGAACCCCGTCCTGTGTATCATCCATTTTCAGTCAGCATGAGAGGAGCTGAGAGAGACAAAGAAGCAACACAGAGAGTTAATAATTTTCATCCATCCGATTCAGTCCCATGACTCCTCATGACCAGCAGTGAGCATAGACACAAAGAGGGCAGCATGGTGTGGAGGAAAGTAACAGCAGGAAGAGGAGGAGCAGGTACAGCTCCAGACAGCAAACAATAACTGCAGATCATATCTACTTTCCTGTCAACTATTTCCTTCAAGATACAGACCAATTGATAGTTAGACCACCGATGTGTTTCTCTACACAATCAAAACATTTGTTGTGTGATGGATTGAGACAGCTGATCTTCACCCTCTCTTGCTCCTCTTGCTTACAATACATTCACTCTTCCCTGTCACCCTTTTAATTCTGTCCTCATGTCAGCCTCTCTCTTATCACATACACACTCCAAAACACACACAAGTACACACATATGCAGCTGTTCAAATGGCACTCTGCCATCACTCCGAAGAGTCTTCCTTCCCTCTTTGCTAAACGAGTGAGTGTGTGTGTGTGTGTGTGTGTGTGTGTGTGTGTGTGTGTGTGTGTGTGTGTGAGAGAGTGTGTGTGTGTTGTCTTTGTGCATCTACAGAGGAGGCACGAGAGAAGCCTCCGGAAGGAGATGAACAGGTGCAGGACACATGGGCCACCTGCTGCATCTAGTTATTTCAGCTTCTTACACATTTATATCTGAGCATGCTACTGGCAGCACTGCCAACACACATTATATACATTTATCCATTATATCTGCATGTATATGTAGAGTGCATGCAGTCTCTTCACTTGACATATAGGTGAAGAATTGAAAACATTTCACAACTCATCTAAGAAGATTCAACTCAAATTCTTGCAACATGAATCTGGACATTTTACTCCCTGGGTATGGGTGACAGTGCTGGTGGGTTGATCCACCACTTTGGTCCATAGTGAGATATCTCAACAACTATTAAATGGATTGATATATGAAATGTTGTATAGACATTTATAGTCTGTAGAGGATGAATCCTACCGATTTTAGTGATCCCGACTTATCCTCTAGCGCCACCATAAGATTGAAATTTCTGGCTTTTAGCCAAATTTCTTGGCAACTTTTGGATGGATTGCTATGAAATTTGATACAGTGCCCAGAAGATGAATCCTAATTACCCTGATGATACCCTGCTAACATGATGTTCACATTTGTGGTTTTAAATGAAATGTCAAGGGCTGCAACTAATGATTATTTTCATGATCAAGTAGACTTCCAATTATTTTCTTGATGAATCGATTAGTTGCTTGGTCTATAAGATGTCTTGTTTTGGCCGACCATCAGTCCAAAAGATATTCAATTTTCAGGGATATGAATTGGAGAAAAACTTGAAATCCTGATATTGGAGGAGCAGGAAGAAGCTAATTTTTCACATTTTTATTAGAGAAATGACTTTAATGATTATTAAAAACATAAAACTCATTTTATGTCAATCATCGAATTGATTAATCAACTAATCGTTGGTGATCATCTGTCTTTAAGTGCCATCATCAGGTTAAAAATTGATTAATGACATTCCCAGCCTTGGCTGTACTTTATATTTAGTGCTAATTAGCAAATGTTAGCTTGCTAACAGGCTAAGCTAAGACTGTTAACATGGTAACCATTATACCTGCTACCAGCATTATTCACTGTGAGGGCGTTAACACGCGGACCTTATTATTTAGCACAAAATACCACTGTACAACTGCACCGAGTTGCTAGCATGGCTTAGACTCTTAGTCTTTGTGTATTTTTCCTACAGTTTGAGGTAACCATTGGATTTGATTCATCTGCGTGTGGTATCAAAATCAATGGTAGACTTTTTAAACTTGCTTATGTTGTTTTATTTAATTCTAATCTAATTCTAAGACAAAGTAGCTTAAAGTACATGGAATTTGTGGTAAATGGGCTCAAACATGGTACTGACCTTTACATTTCTGTTCATAAGTTGAAATGCTCTCTGAAAGCATGGTCTCAGTTCAGTTGACTTTAAATATTACTCTGTAATAACACAGCATGCCCATAACACAGCAACTAACAAAAAATCAATACTAAAACTCAGAGAGACACACCTGCCAAATGGATATGGTGTAACTGTCTGTGACAAGAGAACAGTTGATCTTACCGTAGTGAAGACAGTGTGATCTTGTTGAGTCACCAGAAAGAGTGAGCTGCAGATGTGGAGAGAGAGAGAGATCAAGAGATTAGATAGGTAGATTCAATATGTATCCTCAGGTAAGAGCAGTTTTGTCTCTCAGGTGTCGATTTCAAATGGCCCATGGGGTCTTTTCTTGTGAGCGTGACAGCGAACAGAGGGGGAAGAGTGGGGGCGTTTAAAGGAAGAGCTCCCCTTCCGTTAAATCACTTCCTCCTTTACTCAGTCAGTCACACAGGAAACTGACACTAGCCCTTACACAGCCCAAAACTTCCTCAATTCAAGCAGCACGGATGAACTATCATGCACACCCAACCAGTTGACATACATGAGCGCGGGTAGAAAATCTGATAAGACCCACACTTTACCTCATTGTCACACTCACACCACACACACTCCTAACAGTTTACTATAAACAAGGATATTCAAAATCTGACAAGTAGAGTAATGTCGCTTTAAACACACACTGCTGATAACTAACGTGAAGCTGTCAATCTCTGAAACAAATGTGCTCAGTTATTGTGAACAAATTAAATATTAAAAACCAATCAGCCCAGCCCCCTGCCAAGCTCTATCAATATTTCAGCACCTATATTAGCCCTGTCAAGCGCTCAAAAGCCACCACTGACCTACACAATGAAAATCATTAGTCTTTAATACTGCAGTCACGGTCAAGGCCAGCCATGCTCATAGACTCATGACAGATGATTCCAATGGTGTGAGGCAGATATGTGGCTGCCAGTCAAACCAAGACAACATTGTAATTGTCAGGCAAATCAACATGAACTTTAAATCAACTAAAATGCCACCTGATAGCAAAAATTGATCCTTCCCTGATGTTACCTCAGGCTCCTAAAATAAAGATCAAATCAGACATTTAACCTTTAAGGCTGGAGAATCGTGCAAAATAAGACTTGTTTTGTCGTGCTAAGTGTGTATTTTCACTTTATCCAAAGGGGATTTTAATAGTTTTCCTCAGATCAAGAACTGAAGAGTTTTCTTGAGGTTTTCTTGAACCACAGGATACAGCTGGGAGATATCAGTGCAATATTGATTTAGTGATATGACACTAGATATTGTTTAGGGTTTGTGTTTATTGTACTGTTGTGACAAAGTCTTGTATTTTCCTTGCTGTAAGGGCTACATTATAGTTGGGTAGGACTGGATATATTTTGAAACATATACATTTTTGAAACATTTTATTTTCAATACTAGTGCCCATACCAATATTGACAATGTTTTTATGCACGTATGAAAATGTATGAACATGTTCTTCATTTACAAAAGAAAGAAACCTGTCAACACAAGCTCCTGTAAAAGAACTTTGCCGAAATAAAAACAGCCTAAAATTGGCTAAATATGATCCAACTTAGGAACTATCCTGTGAAAGAATTAGCAAACGAGATTATGAGCCTATTAGGGCTATTAGGACTTGAATGATTATTTTCTTGAATAATCGTTTGGTTTATAACATGACAGAAGACAGAGAAAAATAACCATTACAATATCCTACAGCACATGGCGACATCATTAAATATCAAAAGAGATCAGCAAACTGTCCCACTTTAGAAACTGGAACCATCAAATGTTTGGCATTTTTGCTTGAAAAATGACTTAGGTGATTAGTCAATTTTCAAAATAGTTGCAGACAAATTTTCTTTAGATTGACTAATCGATTAATTGATTAATAGTTGCAGCTCCAAAGCCTATAGAAATGTATAAAAACAAACCAGTTCCAAACTAGTGATAGCTGTTGTCTCTTACAACCAGAGGGCCTTGTCTATGTGGAAACTATCTGTAGACTCCAGAAAGCTGTCTCAGCTTTTTGTTTTGAAGCCAACAGCAGCATATAAATGCAGCCAGACTGACCCACAGCTGACCTAGTCCTGTTTCAGATCACAGAGCTCTTCTCAACTGGACAACAGTCCAAATGTAAACTTCATTGACTCCCTGAATTCCCCTGTGCCTCATTACATGTTCAGCCAATCCTCAGCCTCCATCTTCCCCTCTCTCTCCGTATCCTTATGTCTCATTCGGCTTCATCTGCTCAGTTGTTTCGTACCACGGTAACTTGGTTTATTAGTGGCTGTCCAATTTTTCTGATTAGGAAATTCTTTCCTCTCCACTGTCTGAATGTTTTTGCCATTCAGCTTTCTCCTCTGTCTGCTTCATGCTCCCTTGTGAAGCCATCCACTATGCTATTAAAACTCATGACCACAACTTCCTGACTTTTCTCCCCCCACTCTCTCTCTCTTTCATTGACACACATGCACATTTGTTTTCTGCCCTATTGCCCTGTTGCCTCTAAACCTCCTCTGTCAACGTCTTTGGCCGAAACGGACGATGAATAGCTCCAAACCTCCTCTCCTCCTCCTGACCGCTTTCAAACCTACCACCACCCGTCTTCAGCCTCCACATTACTACTTCTCTGCCTCACTATTGTCACCATTGTCATAGCAACACCAAAAACATCTGAGCTCCAGCAACTATCCCACAACACTGAGCCAAAAATAGTGTATGTGTGTTTGTCTCTCCTGCTCCTTGTTAGGCATACTCGGGTTGTCAAATATGTCGCCAGGCTCGATTTAAATCTAAATATGGCTTCCAGATTGTCAAGATCAAGCTGAAGCTATTCTCGCATCTTATCCGTGCATCTATTTGAAACTATTTGATTATCAATTATAACTCAAGTAATTTTTTAAGCAAAAGCGGTGAAAAAATAAATGGTTCCAGCTTCGATGTGAATATTTTCTGGTTTCCTTAGTCTTCTGTGATGGTAAATTGAATATTTTTGGATTATAAAGTGTGTTTGCTTGGATAAAACAAGACATTTTAAAGAGGTCACTGAGGACTCAGGGAACTTGTAATGGGCATTTTTTTTGCTATTTGACATTTTATAGGCTGCATGATTAACTGATTAAGAATATGATTGGTGGATTAATGAAATAACAGTTAGTTGCAGGCAATTGGATATTCTCTTAAAAATTTGTTAGATTAGGTCCACTTATGTAAAACTAATGCAGTCTAGCACAACAGCTGTGCAATAAATCCTGCCTTCTCAAAGGTTATAATGGTTCAGGTTTTGATTTAACTGTTTTAGAAAGGTGTTACAATCATTTCAGATGAGGTGCTGTTGGATTGTACCGTTTTTAATACTTTGTCCATCCTATTTATATCAACATGGGTAGACTAAATAGATACCTCTGCAAAATGACTCCAGAGTTGAAACCACATGTCTCTAAAGCAGTTTCAACAAAAACTGATTATTATAACTTTCATAAGCAGAGGTTTATCACAGGACTGTTATATTAAACTACATTACTTTTAGCCAAGTGTGCCAATTACACTGGCAACTGGGTCCACATCACAGGGCAAAATATTAGGTATGCACTTTTTGGCAGAGGGTCTGTCCTAAAGCACTCCCTCTGTCTCGCCAGCCTTATGTGTGCTGAGAGGAATCTTAACTATCTATTGCTCGTTATGTAACCCGTTTTACTAAAACATAGCAATACACACTCCTTGATACAGTCCACATGTGATAAAATACGGATAATCTATCATTTTCTGTTCAAGATTTAGGCTGGACCGTCATATAAAGTGCTATGGAGCATGGCTCTTACCACTGCATGTGAACTAAATGCACCACATATGCCCAAAATGCGAGATTTTTCGTCTATCTGTATATCAGCGATTTTGTATTTTATGTTGTCAAAACATTTCTAAGTCTTCTTTTCGTACAAACAGTCACGATATCAAACTACACCCAGTCCACATCGCCACATCAACCCACAGACATCATTATGATCAACCTACTTAGCTACACCGACGCTTCTGTCTGATTCCTGCCGACTTTTGGAGCTCCTCTCTCGGCTCACCAAACCCGGGGACGCAGGCTCTCCGGTTCGCCTCCTCTCCGTCTTTCCCCTTATTCCCGTTACTGTCCGTTAACGATAAACTACTCGGCTAACTCGCCCGCTCTCCAGCCGTTGGAAACAATCACTTGGGCGCGTGCATCCACCACGAGCTGATAGGAGGAGGAGAGCGCGAGAGGTCCATCTGTTGTGGCGGAGCTCGCGCATAAGCTCGCGGCACAGCAACCTCGGGGGCCCAGCCGGCAGCCAATCAGAGACCGACCCTGACGCCCCTTTGTTCGCGCTGAATGAAAACATGAAAACAATGGGAGAGCCTGTGAAAAATCAGTTAGTGATTATTATTCAATGGAAACCAAAATGTACTGGAACCTAAATGGGAGTAAAACTACAACAGATTTTGAAGTGTCCAATGTCAAACTCAGTCGTCCCATTTACAACTTACATGTAGGATGTATGGAAGCTCACTTCCACCAAGGCCAAAACAAAAAAAAAAGAAGAAGAAATGCTCCATTATACTGCCACATATTTTTAGCTGTTTCCTGGAAACTTTGCTCATAATTTTTTATAACTTTAGCTGGTAGGGCTCTTTGAATATGAATTACTGGGACATTTCCTAGAAAGTCATATGCAATTTATGAATTATAAGGGAATTGGAGAAGTTTTAAGGTACCTGTTTGTTATAATTGAGTTTTTAAGAAAGAGGGGGGAAACATGTAGCCTAATGGATAGGCTAAGAGAAAAAAAACACATTAACAAATGTCATTATCCATCAGAATTTTACAACTACTGAACAGTCATACACTATAGGGCCACTTGGTAAATATTACATTTAGGCTGCATATTGATTGAAATGCATGTTTACCTGTAGTTTTCTGTTTCATTGGAAATTCCTTAGTTTTGCGTTTCAAACTCATGATGATCAACAACTAAAATGATGCTGCAAATTTTCACAGACTCAGCAGTTATACCAAGACACACATTTCTAACATCCACAGACCAGACCTGAAAGATAAAGTGAATCAATGTGGCACATTGGGGGCAGAACTGTCATGATCAGAGTTGACAACCAATAAAGACAGAAGACTGCATTCATTCTATAACATCTTATTAAATAGTTTTAGGAACAAAGAATAAAACATTTTGTTGCTACAATTAGTTTACACAATTTCTCTTCCAGAAGGTTTTAGCAAACTTTACTCCATTAAATATACATTTATTTTTTTGTTTTTACATCTAAAGTTTTTCAGCTCGATCTTTAATTTATACTGGTAATGTGTTAACATGGACAGAAAGCAATGTTAGAGTAAAAAATACAATATGTAAAGGTCCTAACAAACAAACAAAAGGATTCCACCAAACCACAGATTCAAAATAGGATAAAAATGTATTTACTTCTTAAATAAGTACAACAAAATGGTGCGCTTTCCAGCATGATTTAAGATTAAAAGTTATGATTTGTTTCTTACAAATATTTGCTTGCAAAAACATAAAAATGATGTATAAAAGAACAAAAACATTGAAAAAGATAAAACACTTGATACACAATAGTATATTCTTCAGGTAGCACCCCCTTCAAAATAACTGAAAGGGATTGATGTCTGTGTTGTACACCTTATGGCCACCTTCTTAAGAGCCATCTGTTGGTTAAAATGACATAATTCAAGCCAGAAACCTATGAAGGAATAGCATCTGGGCATGTGAAATCCAAACTGTTTTTACTGAAACCACGCTATTTCTGTGTGAAACACATGCATGTGTACATGATCCTAAAATGAGACAGAATGTAAGATAAAAACTGTAGGTTGAAAGTTAAAATCAAGAGGAAGTTGCATTCAGGCACAAAATCATCCAATGTTCATCTTGCTCTTAAGTGATAAGGCAGGTTCACTCAGCTGCCAATGACCAACAGGCTCTTAATAAGGTGGCCAGTCGGTGTGTTCTCCTGTATCCAGATACAACAGTAAGAATTCCCAGGGAGAAAACCAGGTACACTAAACATGAGAGGACACCAATATATTTTCACCGCAGGACTCGGGGAGTTAAACAGTGTGTGTGTGTGTGTGTGTGTGTGTGTGTGTGTGTGTGTGTGTGTGTGTGTGTGTGTGTGTGTGTGTGTGTGTGTGTGGAGAGAGGATGTGATGGGACAAGTCAGTACAGGTTGCATGAACATGATATGACACAGAAAACAAGGTCACAGGTTGTCCATGTGATTATTACATGTGCATGCCGTGTACAAGAAAATTCACTACAGAGGTGACAAGAGCTTTAAAACCACCCTCCATTTACTCTCTCTCTAAGAGGGATGTTGGCAGGAGGCAGCAACTGCCCTATGACCTCTACTTGATCATCCCTGCCACTGGGGCAAGGTTACACAACGTGGAATCTGAAAACATCTGCTGACGTGCCAATGACACTGCTAATTTTACCAACCACCTCATAACACTTTATCCACAGCTATCCAGCTGCAAGCCCTGAGCACAGCCAACATACAGATGATGATGGTGAGGTTTTAGATTTACAGTTCCCATGCACATCAGTGGTCAATAGCTAGCCTTGCCTCTTAGACTTCATCACTCTTTATGTTTCTCTGTGATTTGGTCATATCACAGATATCAACAGCCCACACAGAATGCTAAAATATTTGGTGATACCAACATTATAATAAATTCCCACCAGATTCGATGGCCCATTAGCACTGCAAACATTTTAATCTTACTTTATTGCATACTGGATTCTGATTGGTGTAATTGAAAGTGGTGCCCCCGTAGTATCAAGACAGGGTCACAAAATTTGATAGCTGTCATTCTGATGTACTAAAAACTGACAAGTTAGATTCTAATTCAGATGAAAAAGACCAACATTTGTGCCCCCATATAAACAATATGGGGGTCCCATGTATGGTAATATTGTATTACTGGTCATTGCCAGTATAGTACTTTAGACTAGCTAAAAGTACATCCAGCAAAGTAGAGGAAGTCTGTGGAAATATTGGACTTTAACCTTGTTTTTTTTGTCCATTTGAATCATTCTAGATCATTCTAGGCAGACAGACATTAGTAAGATCACAAAAATACCTTTGAAGATGCATCCCACCACTGTGTAGCAGGTAAAAAAAAAAAGAAAAAAAAAAAAAAAAAAAAGAAGAATTTTTCTCCCACCCATGTTTGCATTGAGAACGCTATTTGACTTAATCACAAGAGTCATGTACAGAGAGATGAGGCCATAATAGGGGCTATAGCTAGCAATGCTATCAGAGACAAGGCCCAACAATATTCAGCACAAAGCGGTTCAGTTTTCAGGTCAAAAAAAAAAAATAAAAAATAAAAAAAAAAACTGTTCATATGCGACTATAAAGAACTGTTAAGAGCGCTAGTGACATTACAGGGTTTCAGGTCAGTGTCACTCACTCTGACCCTGATCTTCTTGGCAACATAACATGTGCAAACAGTACTTGTGGTAAGAAGGCCCTGACTCTGAAATTTGACTAAACTATCCTGTTTGACACTTAAAGTGTTTTCTCTCTATTTATATCAAATAACATGATAAATGGAATGAAACAGAAGCAGCTTAACTCATTTTAGAAACTAACTTTATCAAAAGCTGCTGTCACTAGGTGAGTTTCTAAAAGCAGTGAATGTAGCTGAGGCTGAGGGCGGAAGGACCAGTCAATCGTCATCACTCCGCTCTTTACAGGGCACGAACTAGTGAAATAATAAATATACTTTCAACATTTATGCAACAGACAAATAAACCTGCTTCAAGCAATCATTAAACATCAACTTTCTTCTCATAAATAAATAAATAGCTTTAACAAAAGAGATAAAAAGTAATTTGGGACGAAATTTCAAACTAATTTTTTTTAAGATTCTCAACAGCGACTGCCAATTCTAACGAAATGTTTTGGTATGGTTACAGAACAATAAGAAGAAATAGAAAATAAGAGCTTTTAGCATTTTGGTTTAGTAAAATTCTCAGTTGGGCTAAACATTTAGTAGTCATCTTTTAGCTGTTCTTTCTCTCATTGTGCTACTTTTTATTTCTACATTTACCAAAATTATATATGTCGCAAACTTTGTTTTTTTTTTTTTAAATTCATGTTTTTTCAATTAAAGCAGAGGCACACAGTGTGGTCAAATTAGAGACTCGCTCTACACACCTGGGTCAGAAAGATACAGGCTGCTGAAACCTTTGTTACTCAGCCAAAATGTGCAGCCTGAACCACAACAGACATAAACAGTGACAAACATCAGCAGGAAACTAACTGAAGTGAGATGAGGGTGGGAGGGGCAGGGGTGACTAAGGACGAGAGGAAGGAGAATGTGAGGGGAAAGTCGTCATCACCACTGTAAAATAAGTGAAAACTATTAGTAACATCAGCAACAGTTATGTTTGGCTGCTGCAAAAAACAAACAATGCACAATCTGTGAGTCGATCCAGAGGACAAAAAAAAAAATTTCAAATCTCCAAACCCCTGTTATTACATTTAAATACTCTATCCAAACAAAATGACCAATCTTAATTATGCAAGTGCTAGTGAACAGAATGATGGAACTACCACATTTGGATAGTGGCAGGGGTGTATTATTTATGGACCAGTCTTCACTGCTATAAACAACCCAATTAATGCCTTAAAACTGTATTAGAAGATCCACACAGAGGATTTAATTCTCCTGTTGTCATTTTTTTTTTTTTTCTTTTTTAGTACTTATATACATAATTTTCAAAAGTCTCTCTGACAAGGCCACATCTCTGTGTTACTGTGTGCCATTACTACAGCTTTTGCAAATTCACTGCTGTCATTACGGCAGCATAGGCAATATTAAAAGCTTGTTTCATTATGTAAGTGCCTAAGTGCATTCGAGGAGATGTTAAATAAGCAAATTACGGTTAGAAAATAAAAATAAAACCCTGATAATTTTGTTCACTACTGAAGCCAAATAAGTCAAGGTTCAAGTAAACTATTGTTTTGGTCTGGTTAGTCAATGATGCATAATACTGACACATTAAAAAGACGTAAACTGTTAGGTTAGTGAATTTTTGCCCAATCACATGGGAGATTTTGTGAATATCAGCTCTGTACTACATAACAGAAAAAAAACGATGATGTGAGGTTCTTCAGCATGAGATGAGCGGATGTGATGTGCTGCTCTGAGGAGTTTTACAGAAGAAATGGGGGCGCGAGTGACATTCTAGATTTGAATGCAAAGGCAGATAGTGCAAAAATAAAATTTCACAATCACTTTGCATGGCTAAGGGCACCTGACAAACCACTTCCATCAGTCTGTATGACCCCGACGTGCATTGTTGCGCTCAAGCTAGTTTTGGTGAGGCCATTAGAGTGTGTGCGCATGTGTGTATCTCTAATGCGGTTGCATAATGAGTCTAGAGGAAAATGATTCCCAACAGAAATTTTGCATAATCCTCAACTGACATAATCAAATCTACTGTAGAGTATTCAGTAGAATATGTTTCATAAAATGACACAGGCAGTAGAAGTTCCAGTGATTACGAGTCAGTGAATCATCAAACACTCTGCTTTGATTGTTTGAAACCCATCTGTCTCCTTCTGGATTAAAGTGCCATCATCTCTTGCTGCATACTGCACACACATACACACACACCAATAATTAACCTCTGTGTGGTGACATCTTTTATAGCATGCTGTGACTTGCTAGAGCATGCTTAAAATAGCATAGTGGGAAGTAGGAAAAGACTGACACAAGCTAAAGAAAACACATACTGACAGGGGGGTTGGGTGCATCACAATCCCAAATCCTGCACCGCTTCTGTCCTCCGCTCTCCCATCCTTTTATCTTAGTGTACCATCATCTTGCTCCCCAAATTCAGCCACACATAAGCCCGTTGGCTATACCCGACTCTCCCCTGGTGCTGTTCCTCCCTCCCCTCCCATTCCTCCCCCCTTCACCGCATCTCCATGTCCCATTCTGCTCCTGCAGGCTTCCTGTAGCCTTCCCCACTGATAGCCTGTGAAGGTGGGGCTGATGGGGAAGTACTTGAAGACGGAGTATCTGCGGATGAAGTCCATTCCAAATGGCAAGTCATAAGATCTCATCCCTTCTAGTTCTGCTGCACTGAGACCAGAACCACGTTTCAGCTTCCTGATGCCTCGTTCTTCAGGAGTACCTGATGAGACAAAAGGGAGGAGAGATTAATCATGAGTTCCTAAAGATCCACAATTAAAAGTCCAAACAAACAAATAGGACCATGGACAAAAACATGAGCTTCCCTTTGTTGCTACAATCGTTTGATCCATTTGAAGACATAAAGAAATACAAAGTCATAGATGCTTAAAGGGTATGAGTCTGCTCATTCCTGTGTCGCCTATTCCAATCCAGGTCGTAGCAGCAGGTTAAGCCCAGGCGTCCTTTTCCCCACCACATCTTCCAGGTCTCCCACAGGGATATTGAGATGATATGATCATACCTGCTTGGCTGTCACGGCCATGTTATTATGATTTTCTTCCTTAAAAATGTTTTATACTACCATTATATCAATCAATCAATCAATCAATCAATCAATCAATCCAGCTATAAACTTAACAGCACAATTTACATTAATTTTACATGGGGTTATCATTAATTGGACAAATGAAAGTGAAACAGTGGATTAAACACCTTACCAGGGATCGTATTGTCCAAAATGAAGGCGACAGAGCCTCCAACAAACATGGCAGTGGTGAGGAGCACATTCAGCACTTGGTCAATTTCAACTATGCCTGAGAAAGATAAAAGGGACAGGAATTTAGTAACTGACTAAAATATGTTGTAGTTTGTGCTGAGGATGGAACTGAAAAATTACCAAAACTAACATTATCAGTCTCTAACCAACCTCATTTCAGTCATGTTCGTATGTTCAGTAAATTAGTTAATTCCCTCTGACAGGTTGACAACAAGTCGCTGTGTGTACTGAATCATTTGTGTGGGTTTATTCATAAGAGAAAAAGGCGTTGTTCCGACTCACTGGAGCCGAGCCTCCAGACAGATTTAGACAAGACAAAACTTTCCAAAGGTTGGAGAGTATTGCAGCTGGAGGCAGGTGCAAGATGACAAAGGTGGTAGAGAAAAAAAAATATGGCAAGTTGGTTGTGTAAGCACACTTTGTCTTCAATTAATATAATATAGAACAAAACAAAGCTAAATGTTATGCTACAGCTAAATACCACATACACACATCTATATTCGTACATTATGATGGGTGCATGGTAAAGTAGTAAGAAAAAAATGGTACACTTGACCAGGAACAACAGAATATTACACTGAGATAATCAATGCTGTGTATGTTTTATTCACATCCAATATGTATTGCTTCTTTGTTAGTCGAAAAGTCAAAAGAAGTGAAACAGAACCTAACTGTACTTTGGTTTTAAATGTATAAACAAGTTCTTAACAACTGAATGTTGTTTATTCCTCAAGAGGTCCACTGCAAGGATGGAGAATCCTGTGCACGGGTATGTTCAAAAAGATATCTATCCATTAATCCTTATTGTGGTCAATGTGACAATAAATCTTCATATTGATACCAGCCCTAGTTTGTACATACGTAGGTACAGGGATCACTCCTCTTCACTCACCTGTCACCAGTGGGTTCTTTTTCAGGTAGCTTGGCAGCATCAGTCCGAAGAAGATGGAGAAGCCCAGGACAAACATGTTCCTGGAGGAGTTGAGGTCGACAAACTGCAGGTTGGACAGTCCCACTGCTGTGATCATACCAAACAAGGTGCAGAAGAGAGCTCCCAGGACAGGGTCAGGCAGAGAGGCAAACAGGGCGCTGAATTTACCCACCAGCCCGAGCAGCAGCATCATGGCAGCTCCATACTGAATCACACGTCTGCTGCCCACCTGGAGGAGGGGAAAGGAGTCAGTGAGAGGCGGAATAAAACGTTTAATAAGGTGGGGCTCAACCCCGGAGCAGCGTCTGCATGTTAAAGTGGAGGGTTTACTTTACTGAGGGCCGAAATTGACAAACTGTATATTTTATAGCATATGATGATCGCTTTGGGGATCTTACACATGTACAGTTAAACAGTATATATTATACAGTCTTCTAAATTAGAGGCAGAATCAACAAGGCCCATCATTAACCACATTAATGGATGTTTCCTGCTCATGGCAGGGTGGTAGGTGTGTCTTACAGTTTACGTATAGCTCCACCTCAATTGAGCTATTAGTTTAATGTGGGGCTGCAACTGATAATTATTTACATTATTAGTTAATTTGCCCATTTTTTGTTCATAAATGTCATTAAATTGTGTAAAATGCCCACAGCAAATACCCGCTAACCAGCCCCTAACCAAAAATAAATATTCAATCTAAAATAATATAAAACAGTGCAAATAAGAAAATTTATGATGCTGTTACCAGGAAACATTTAGCATCTTTGCTTGAAAAGTGGCTCATATGATTAATGGATTGGCAATAGCAATTATTTTTTTTGCCAATTGCTTAATCAATGATGCAGCTTATTATTTGAGCTCTAGCCCTGGTTAAAGAAATACAAACTTAAATAGATATGTGCAAAGACTTGTGTGCTACCTTGGTGATTCCCAGGACACCTATATTTGGACTGGAGGAGGTAGAGCCATTTCCCGTTCCAAAAAGACCATCCAGCACACAGGAAATACCTTCCACAAATATCCCCCTGCAGAGACAGAGGAAAAACAGTCTAATTACAGTATCTGACAGACAGTAAATTGCCCGTGCCATGACTCATAAACAAATGGAGTACTGGCGAGAATGAATAAGAGTAGAAAGTCGAAATGAGAAACTGAAGAGTTACCTGTTGATGGCATGGATGGGAGGTGGAGGCGCGCAAGAGAGACGAGCGCAGGCGTAGTAATCTCCAATCGACTCAATGATGCTGGCCACCACAGCACTCATCATCCCGATCACGCCTGCAGCTGTTACAGTAGGAAGGCCCCACTGGACTGTAGAGGTAAAAGCTCAGTGAGAAACAGCTGCATTTAAACAGAAAATAACTTTAAAATGATTTTATTTCTTATATTTTTTTTTTCTTCATTGCCTCTGGCAGGTTGTAACAGCAGGGGTTTAACTCCTGCTGTATCATAGTTACACCTCCTCCTACTATAACTACACAACCTGTTTATTCTGACCTGTTAACTTACATCACTGTACGCACCAGGCAAGACAAAATATTTAAAACTTTAAATGTAAGACTTTTTAAAAAATATTTTCACTAGGCACTACACCAGGCATAAGACCAATGATCATTTCCAACACCCCCTTCATCATCCTCCTCCTCCTCCTCCTCATAAACACACTTACAGGGGTATGGGATCTTAAACCACGGTGCAGCTGTGAGGATTCCCTGACGAGCGTCTGTACGGGCATAGAAACCATACTTGTCCTTCTCTGGCGGGAAAACATCAGTCACAGTGAAAATGAAGCACAACAGCCACGACACCAGGATGGCCATGATGATCTGTAGCAAGAGAAAAGAAAACACTCATCAGTCACATTAAAGACAAAGTGAAGTAAAAACATGTATTACCAGTTCTAAACCTGCATACTTGTGTCACTTGTTCAATTATCTGTGATAAAAAAAACTATTTTGAGTGTTTTCTTTTCATGTAAAATGTTAATTTATTTTACTTTTGACTAAGGTCACAGGTGAGGAAGGTTAAAGCTCTTCTACAACTCCATATTGTGTGCTACATTCACCAACCACACCCACTGTACTCTGAACCATACCCCTGCTCATATTTTCTTTCACTGGGAAATATTACAGCAGCTGAAGACTCTGTCATTAAATGTGACTTCATTTTTTTTGATTATTATTATCATTGTTCTTTCAACACAATTCAACTTCCATAGAAAATAAGTGAAGTTTAAAAGAGTTGCACCATGTTGCCGGCCTCCAAGGCTATGGCATGTTGGCTACAGCAAAATCAAGTACACTTTAACATTTTTACTGTTAACAGTGAGCCAATAAAAAGGAAAAGAGCAATGGGAAACCTTTTGAGGTGAGAGGTATAAATGAGACTGGTAGGTAACTTTGATGTGAATTTAAGAGAGTTTTTATTATTTAATATATCACCAGCAGAGGGCAGGAAAAGACTGATTTACACCCTGCACAGAGGCAAACAAAGAGAGAGCGTCTTAACCCCCCATGGAGGAGTGAGATTAGCTCTGTTAAGTAATTTGTGACATAGATGGGAACACAGTTTGCAGTGGAGGCAGGGGGTGGGGGGAATATGTTCATTAAAAGATAATATTTAAGAGAATATTTTCTAAGAAAAAGGAATCAAGAATAGGAGTCCAGACACGGTTTGTGCAAAAGGCTAAAAGCTGAGGTATGTATGTACTTACAGGAAACATTTTGAAGACTTGAAGTCTATAGGAAGTCCAGCCTTTCTTGGCTTTATAGACTGGGAGAGGAAAGTGAACGTTTCTGGCATACTGAGAGAAGAGCAGCACCAAGAAGATAGTCCTGCAAACAGAAACAGATCGGTGGATCACAGTCAGAGAGTAGCCTTTTATTATTCTTTTCTGGACTGTATATTCAGCTCCTGTTAACGTCTGACTAGAGCCCCAGAGGCTTCAGAGCCAATCAATTATCCTAACTGCCAGAGAAAGAGCGAATCAGTGGCAATTACGGGCACATAACCTGTCCCTGTGGAGCGAGAGACGAGGCCCTCCGGCTGCAGTGTAAACAGCCGTGACACAGCAGGAACTGATGTCACACCACCTAAATATCACAGCTTTGAAGTGGGTCTTTGCCTATGAGTCGATCTTTACAGTCTACAATCTTTTCCTGAGTAAAAGAAGTGCTTTCTTTCTTTCCTAGACCTCTTCTTATCTGCTCATTCTTGGGCTGCAAAGAACCCTGTAAAAAGGAGGAGGAAGTTTATTGTCACTGTTAATCCGTGAAAGTGAGCTCCAAGCCACCGTGTAAGTATTCATCTCTGTATAAAAGCTTAAGATGATAGTACACCCAAAATAACAGAACAATGGCGAGATAGTTTTTATTCAGTCAGTTTCAGTGGTTTCCAATGGAGACAGGCTTTCATGTCAGAACATACCCAACATACAAAGAGACAACAGAGCCGGGATTTTAGATGTTGTTGACACATGAATGTACATTTCTTTGCATGGGGGTCTGTACTTACAACATAGCAATGCCCCAGTGTTTTCCAGCCCTCTCCCCTGCAGCCTGGAAACCAGACAGGCCGATGAGGGCTACGGTGGGGGTGATGGTCAGAGGGCCGATGTACTTCAGCAGAATCCCGGGCAGACCCAGCGCTCCGATACACACTTCGACCACGGAGGACACGATGATGGCCCCCTGGATCTGACAGAACAAAGAAAAGAGGACGTATTTTAAAAAAATGTGGATCTACCCACTTAAACCCTGCTACAGTCTCACATCATGTTCACCTTGAATCAACAATTCAAGTAAACGAAGCACGGGTGAAGGCTCAGAGAGACAAAAGATGACGTTATGTAAACGTAGATTTTCATTAAATCTTAAACTTAATTTAATGCTTTCATTTTGTAAAATTACATCAGGGTTTCCCACAGCTTCTAGTAAAGGAGACGCCGTACTTCACCTGAAACATAATTTCCTAACGTTAATGGAAGAACTTTGACATTTTTATATAATAAAATAGGCTTATTAAGCCTCAGGCAAAATGAGCAGTGGCGGTAAATTCCACAGCAACATCCACATACTTTATGAATGAGGCGATTGTTAGAATCGTCTTATATGAACCACACAGATCATGAGACAAAATGTGTTAACACTGATCAATCACATGCTTTGCTTAGTAAAGTTTGCCATGCGATATCCTGGCGTAAATCATTGTATAACATTTGCCTCCTAGCTAAAAATGTGTAATTCAATTTATGAATCAAAACTTAAGCTAAGAGAACATTTTGTTTGCACCATGGTTGGAGGAGATGGTGTTACAGAATCACCAGTGAGCCAGGTTTCATTTGAAACCTCCGAGTGATAATCCCATTTGTCTGGTTGTTATTCGTCTTCCTGTTCTCTTCTATCACCTGCACGCTCCTCCTGCCTACAGCCCATCGCTTTCCCATTCAACAATTTGATTCACTCTGATTGAGTTATGTCTCATTCTTGCATCACACAAAAAACTATTACTCAACTGGCTTACGCAAACAGAAAAGGTTAATGCAAATTAACTGCTCCTGCCACAGAAAACCAAACCCTTCAGGCATATACAGACAGCAATCTTCATGCTTGGGAAAAAAAAAAAAAAAAAAAAAATCTAAATGCCAACTGTTACAAGCAGTAGCTTAGAAAAAAAAAAAACCCAAAAAGACATGTTATTCAACTATAGTTGTGCAAAACTTTGCGTAATGAGTTGCATAAGTTAAGTTGAATAACATCTTATGCTAATTTTTACTTTGAGTTCAGCTTCTTTCATTCATCATTGCAAACATACCATACAAAGATGTGTTTTAGAGCACTTTTTCATCATCTTCTGTCCAGTTTTGCTGTCTGCTATCTGCATGAGTTTTCATTTGTCTCAAGTTTTCTCACCTCTCGTATCCTGGGATGCCAGATGTGTTCTGTGTTGAGGAGCTCTGTGCCATTCAGTGCTGGAATCTCTGGTTGTGTAAAGAAAACTCTAGTTATCAATTTGGAGCATGCAAATATAAACCAGCTAATCCTGTGTGGAGCCGTTTTGAGGCCGACAGCTTTTTGACGTTGGGACGTTTGAGAGACAGAAGAAGAAGGAGAAGTTACCTGTACTATTACACTTCCATTTGTCCAGTGACAGGATGGCTCTGGCTGGTGCGAGGAAGGCAAAAGCGCTGGCCTGGAATAATGGCAGCCTGGACACAAAGAAAGCATTGTTCAGAAATGAAATTAACAAGCCTCAATAATTATATCAAGTATTATATATATCGTTATATGTAAAACAGAGAGAGATAAAAAGAGATTTTCTGTGTAGAACCACCCGGGTACAGCACTTCCATTGTCTTTATTCTTTTCTTGCTAGTAATTATTCTCATTTATTTCAATCTCATTCACTGAGTGTGAGATTCCCCCTGGACTTTTGACAGCCATCACCCTCTGCCAGAGTTTCCTGGAAGCTGGACTGAACAGAAAATTTCTGTTGTTGTTATGACGAGGCAAATTTTAAGTGGCATCTAAAATTTTATTTATTTTTTTATTTTTTTATTATCAAATGTTTGCAGAAAATCTAAATGTTTGAAAGGCGTGAGCATTTACCAGGCTAATAACAGATGCTGCATTATGGGAACGGTCCAGAGCTTGAGCCATACTGTATTACGGGCTAAAAAAAGTGAGGATGTCTTGGCTGCTGCTGCAGCAATTTTGACAGTTTCTTTGTTTAATCATTTAATAAATGTTGAAATACTGAAATCAGTGGAATATCCCTTTAACTTCCAAGAAATTGTAGCTCCTTGGGCTGCCACTTTTTATTCAAGTATCTGAGAGGCAGCGTGTGGAAGTATTTTGGGTTCTTCATTGTAGATTGCAAAATTACTTACAATGACAAGGCTGCTCTGACAAGCAGCTGCCTTACTCTTCAACAACAACAAATCTGAAGAGTCACTTGCTACCAGGTGGGTGGCGAGCATACGCTGTATGGGGCTCTGTTCAAATTAGTTCAAGCGAATGTGTTACTTTGATTTCATTTCAAAATTCACTTTTTGAAAATGTGACGTTTGTACGTGTCCAAATAGAGTTTCATGACATAATTGTTCCTTATTTTGACGCTGGGAAAAGTACGCCAACCAAAGTCTGAAGGCTCGTCGAGCCTTGAAGCAAAGAGAATTTAGATATTTTGATGCACAGTTCAAGAGGAAAGAGATGAAATCACTGAGCATGAGAAAATTTAGAAGAACTGACAAAAATGGGAAACAGATGTTTCACATTAAAGCCTCATGAGGAAAGACAGCCATGATCAATCAATCAGTCCCACTGGGTTAAAGGCATTTTCCACGTTTTGTTCGCTTTTTTTCTAACCACCAACTATATGATCATAATCTCCACTTCTGTTCCTGAGGTACAAGGTTGAATAATGGCCCAAAGTGTTTTTGCAGAACGTTATGATGTCTTAGTGAAGTTGACCTTTGACCGTTTGGATATCATTTCATCATTTTATCCTATTAGACATTTATGTGAAATTTTGTAATAATTAGCGTATGAATTCTTGAGTTAAGGCCAAAAACATCTTTTGTGTGGTCACAGTGACCTTGACTTTTGACCACAAATTCTAATCTGTTCATCCTTGAGTCCGAGTGAATGTTTGTGTCAGACGTAATGAAATTCCCTCAAGGCTGAGATATCACCTTCAGGAAAACGGGATAGGAAGAAAAGAAGTAGTCAGGACAGTGTTGAGCACTATTTTCACTAAGGCTTCAGTCAAGGCCATCGAGCTGGTGTCAAAAAGAACATTGAGCGACTGTGTCTGTCTGGGTTTGTCTGAATGAGGTGATTTGGCTGCTGCGGCACACAGGGAGCAATAATGAGACTGAGAATCTGCCACAACATGATGGAAAGATTAGTTTTATTACAAAGATGGAAGCAGTGAGTTTACCTCACTGAACTGCTATTCTTTTATGAAAGAAAAATAACACCTCATGCTAACATGACCTGGCTTTCATTGAAATACCAATCTGATAGATGGGATAATATCCATGGCAACAGGTAATTTCTCATGTCAGCTGGTATTTTATGGGGAAAATGATGGAACTGATGAAATTCTCATGAAATGAAGCAGGTGAATGACTGGTTATAAAACACACACACAGAACTGGATCACATAATGTTCGATCAACGTTACATAAGAGCAAAAACCAATTGAACATGAAATGTGGTGAACTGCAGAGATGAACAGATTCCAGATACCGGATCAAGCCCCTCGATGTAAAGTGAAGACAGAGGGGGAAAAAAACATGAAGGGGAATGTGTGTAAGCAGTGAGAACAAGGCATCTTAGACTAACAGAGTGTAATAAATCTGTGAGAAACGGGATGAAATGAGATATTCCTGACATGCGCTTACTTGTATACCCCAAAGCAGGGTCATCCCTTTTGCTTAATAGGTTGATGACAAAGATGCATCTGTGTGTTTAATCAATTAAAGCTTCAGCGTAATTCACACTGCTTGCCCAGAAGTGATGCAACAGTAGAACCACATGTAGCTCATTCCTCTGGCATCCAGCCAAATGCCCCATGTCTTTAGTTTCTGCAACTTTATGAGCTGCTGTTCTGTTGTCTCAATTGAGAGAATATAAACTACTTTCTATTCCAACAAAAGAGGAAGTCTCAGCTGCACATGACAACTGCAGTCACATGAACAAAACGAGGAAGTTAAAATACTATTACCTCATCATATTCCGATAGAAAACGTATACAAGACAACTGCGACAAAATCTCTCTCTCTAAAAAGTAAGACGTATAATATATGCTGTCTCAATTTAACTGTGAGGTACTTTCAATACAAATTTATATTTAAAAACCGACTGTTTTACAATTCTGGGAACGTACCAAGACAAGAAAGGGCATGTAAGCATGTACTTAAATGTGTGAAGACACACTTACACCCACTCCAGAGTGACATTAAAGCTGAAGACTGGAGAAAAAGAAACTTAATGTTGCCCGTGTCTTTAAGTGGTACATAATGACAAGAGAGAAAGTGGAAGAAAGCGGGGGAAGAGAGAAAATTTAAGACTTTTTTAAACACTGCGTTGAATGTAATTACAACACCTTTTTTCACAGTCTTACTGGTTGAAGAATGACAGAAAACAATCAAAAAGACATTGTTTTCACATTTTTGCCAGTACTTCTCAGCTATATGTGACAATAATTACTAGTGCTATGATTAATCAATTAACATGACCTGGATCCTCGTATGAATCACAGAAAAAGGTCTATGGGGCAAAGAGCCTCTTTTTGAAGTTACTTAATATTTAATTGACTTACTCTATAATGTTTTGATTTATGGGAGGGCTGAGGGCCTTTCCCTCATCTATGCCCATTGTTTTACAATCCACACGTCTGGACCCAGATCATTGACAGAAACTGATGGATTGACCAATTGAAAAATAAATTATTAATTTGTTAATTTAAGTCCTTGGTAAAATGGACTCCTGGTGGAGTCAATGAGCCTCCTAGCTACTGTCTCCTGACAGCCAAAAGTTACAACTGTTACCGTCTACGGCAGGCAAGAAAAAATTATTCAAGACCTTTGTGAATTAAATTTAAGGTTTTTAATATTTTCTAATGACTTTTTCCAGGGAACTGCATTTGTATTGGGTATTTTTAAGACTTTTAAGAAGAGCTGCAGTTACCCTGAGAAAGAGAGGAGATGAGGAAGTGAAAGACATTTAAAGACATAATAAAATGTACAACCGAAAGAAAAGCTGCATTGTCATGTACTGCTGCATGACTGGGGAGTGTTTTTTATTCAAAGCCTTTCCCTGCCTTCATGTGAGGTAGTATTGCTGTGGGTGCGTCTGTGCTAGTACCTGCAGCCCAGTGTGGTCTGTAGCAGGGTGGTGATCCCCACACAGAAGAAGATGGTCCCTATGAGCTGACTGGTGGCCCATTGATCGAATCCGACACACATGGCCTCAGCGAGGAGGAATGGCACAGCGATCGTCCCACTGAAACACGTCAAGTAGTGCTGCAAAGACAAGACGCCAGAGTCAGTGTGTATGTGTGTATCTGTAACCATGACACATGAGTGGTCATGGAAAATTTATGGTGATTCCCCTTTGCATAAAATCACCTGAAACAACATTATACATTTAAATGGCCATAACTCAAGAGTCTAACTCATACTTTAAACACAGTTCATCTCTGTACCAAGCTCTGATGCTCCCAGAAAGGATTTGGATAATCATGGTTAATTTTCCTTTAATAGCTTGGATGGTATGTAGTTTGTATGTGAATGATCTGGAAGTTTGGTTTAACAGTTTAATGAATGAAAGTCTGTATTTAGTAATGAGGTGGTTAAGTTATAGTTTCATGCGTATGTTTGGACAACATTTGTATTTGAAGTTGGATAAATTGTTGTTGTTGAATTATTAATTCACATGGTAATGAATAGCTAATGTTTCTGTTATTTCTTTTCTTTAGTTGTCAGAGAACCAGTTTTGCACTTACCCACTTTATCTGTTGGTCTTTGCTAATCTGTCCTAACAGAAAGGCCATTAATTTGATTGGTATTCCTGGAGCCAGACAATCCTGAGGACACCAGCATTAAGCCACAATATTCTACACTATGTGATGTTTAATGGAAGTAATCCCTAAATAAAACAACTTAAAAGGACAGCTCCCTTAGTGTCTGAAGGGTATTTTACATTGGGCCATCTCCCTGTTGTATTTCACAGATACATTAGAACTCAGTAATGACTACGAGACAGAGGGAAGTGACAGAGAACAAAAGTCCAGTGTCAAATACAAACACACTGAGGTCACACAGTGAGGACATTAACCAATGAACCACCAATATCCTATTTTTGTGTCTGGTGCCCAGTTATGTAATGCATACTGGGGATGGTCGGTTGGATGAAAAACACTACACAGAGATAAGTGCTAACATATTAAAGTGTTTGGCACAGCCTGATCTGTTAGTCAGGTAAAAACAAAACAAAAAACAACAATACAAACAAAAAAAATTACCTGTAAGCCTAAAAACACACACAGGTACCAGGGAGGGGTGTCTTCAATGGTGTAGATCATATCCATCCTCCTTGCGTCCGTACTGTCTGTGCTGTCCAGCGTCTCAGACATCGAGCTCTACATACACAGTGACACACAAAGAAGCATGATATCTTCATAATTCATAACCTTCTTGACATGTTTACTTTGTCCTCTGCACTGTGCTCCGTGTAAAGGCCCAGAGTAGTGTATATTCTGGAAGAATTTGAGTTATTGCAGAAGTACAGGAAAATAACTGTCAGATGACACCAAATGAAACCAAAATGCTGATGTAAGAAAAACATGTGTGAGCAGATACTAGGAAGGCTGAATTTTATGAATGAAAACAACTGCAGATAAAAAAAAAAAAAAAAAATGTATGTAAGAATGAGTGCAACAGATGATATCCGTTGCCTGGCAAAGAAAAATGCACAGTCACAGTGACAATGACAAAAGCACACACAGATGAAAGAGGGAAGATAACAGCGAAGATGAGTCAGACTTTTCTTTGTGGTCCACACCTCATCAGCACTTTTCTGCTATTTGCAGTTTTAATGTTGTAAATATACATACTCACAATAATATATAACTTTGGAAATAGGCCATTCTGTCAAACGTTTTGCTGGTAATTATAGTTTTAGTAAAAAAAAAATAATTTACAAAAAGTCAATTTCAAATGCAGGACTTTTACTGTAACCGTAAATTTTCACAGATTGGTACCGCTACTTCTCTGAATCTCTTATAGGATGTATGGGAAAAGTGAATGAAGAAATGGAAAGACAGACCATCAATGAGTGATGCCAACTGTGATTAAAATAAATTGCAGTGTGCAGCACAAGTTTGAGCACATGACTGTATGAGTAATCTTTTTGAAACGTGTGACTATGTGTCAGTCAGAGACTTATGTGAGAGTAAATTATAATTTTGGATGACAGGTAAAGCACACAAGGATTATGTTTCTGCATGTTTTCTCTTGAATTACCTTTTCTGCTCCTTGATTATCTTTAGTGTAAATCGCCATCAGCTCTGTGTTCTCAGTATCCTGGTCTCCATTGGCACCACCAACTCCGTTCACCACCACCTAAAACACACAAATGCATTTTGATTTTAAATATCATATACACATAAATAAAAACTGTATATATATATATATAGAGAGAGAGAGAGAACAATCTTAATTACAGCATGCAATAAAGAAAAAGGATGAACCAGATTTGGGAGCGTCGACATGACAACGTTTCCTACTGTATGCAAACTTGCTGCCTTACAAACAAATGTCTTCTGCAAAGTAGGTGTGTGAGTGTGTGATTTTCCTGTGTACGTCTCCAAATATATCTATGTCAAGTTAGTCAACAAAGGGAAGATCATTTAAAAAAATAAAAAAATAAAAAAATAAAAAAAAAAGTGAGGAAAAAGGAACACACTGTTAGGATAAAAATCACTTTGTATTACATTTAAAGCTGATATACTTGAATGTTTCAGAGCCTGAGGGACGATATGCAAAGAAATGGAAGCATGCCAACATGTTCATCTGTCCACTGCCACATCTGTCTTCGTGTTGTTACAAGTTGCTTTTTCACAAGCCAATTTTTACTGTACAGTCCCACATTCCCTTCTGAGAAAAATCTCAGGGAGGGGACTGACCTTTGAATGTACTCGTGTGTTTTCCAACATGTAAACATAGTCTGCCGTGTTCACATGCCAAGCCCACTAGATTAAAGAATGAGCAGCAGAGTCTCTGTATGTGTAAGAAGAATTTCTCAAATACTGGAAAGGAATGTCTATAACCCCGAAGTTGTAAAGGGAGACAAACATTTCCGCATAAAATGCTTCAATGGGACAAAATAACTGCGAGGGAAACTTGAGGCGAGTATCGTATTTCATTCCCTTTGTGTTTTACAGAACGGCTTCAGATAATGACACAGGAGAAGCCCTGCGATTGTTCTTAACTTAGTTTCTAAAGGAAACCAGCACGCTTCAAGGTCACTGTCACAGCTCTGTGGAAAGTTTTATCTTTGTTTTGTGCAGTGGAAGCAGTGGTCAGATCCTTTACTTAAGCCTGTATTGACAGATTTTTTTGGGCACTAACATTGTAGTTGATAATGGTGAATGTGTCAGCAGTTGTCTGTTAACACTTCCAGCAGATACGGCACCAATAGCATTCAATTACAACCATGTTTCCAGACAGCAGACGGACACAAGTTCACTGGCTATCCAACTCCGTTTTGATCTCCACCAACTCCTTACTGCTAAGTGCTCAACTGTGTTCATCAGCTAGCTGCTAACTTTGTCAGTGTGCCTGGTTGTTCCAGGCAGGCGTCAGTCAGTGGGTTCATTAAAGCTTTTTGTTGCCCATCTATGATGCTGTTGAACCACTAGTCAATACTTTTTTCAGCATTAACAAAAACAGGAAAGCTGCAAATCAGAAAACCAAAACAAAGAGCTGAAAGACACCATAAAGCTAAGAGGAAGTGAGGGAAACTGCAGAGATGAGTGTTTGTCACTATAAGCAACCTGTTTCACATTCTCATTAGAGCTATTTCCAAGATGAAAATGCTGATTACAGTTTTCAGGAGTTACAGCGTCAAGTGGAGGTAATATTATCTGCTTTATATACACTTGGTGAGATAAATCCGTAACAATGCTTCTTAATCAGCAGTATAAATAAATACAGTGGAGTAAAAAATTAAATACTTAATAATAATAATAATGTAGTGGCACGCAACTATAAAGCATCGTAAAATCTAATTACTCCATGAATGTGAAAGTTCATACGTCCACTTTTTTTCGTTGCTTATCCAGGGCGGGGTTGCAGTGGCAGCAGACTCAGGGAGGATTTATGATCTCTGGAACGCAGATCAACACCAAAAAACGATCTGAGACAACGGCCACATTACTGATGTTGCAGCACCAAATCATGCTCGTTTTCCATTTTATTCTAAATACCTTAAAATAGTACTTAAATACAGAATTTGGGAAAAAAAAAAAAAAAAAGTATCTAATTAAAGACCACCACTGGATTTATAAAGAAACAACAAAAAAACAAAAAAACAAAAAACAAGCAGTTATAATAAAGCACAGATTTGTGTTTGTCCCCGTGTGTGATTTATGAATTTCCATTGTTGTCATTTTGCCTTTTGACCTACATGAAGCACCGGCCTGGAGCCAAGCGGACAAACAAAGGAAATGGACGGACTGAACTGCTGCAGCAGCAGCAGTACGCACCAACTGGCCATGAAGTGGACAGTTTGTGTGTGTACTCTGGCCGTCCGCTCACACAAATACATTCCAAGAAAAAAGCAATGCCAAATCTGAGTGTGAGAGTCTGAGAAAGAGAAAGAGACGGGTAGATGAGAAGGAGGGTGAGAGTATTTAAAAAGTTGTGAGCACATTGGCCAAACCCTGTCTTTGACATTTTTTCATTATGAGCTTACTATGCATGTCCATGCCAGATCTGTGGTTTTGTCACTGTGGGAAAATTTTAAAAAACGGTGAACAAAGGCCATTGAACAGTCATGTACCGGTATAGGGTAGAAATCTGCGCCGTGTTTGCTCTCCTCTTCATATCTTCCCCCCTCACTGCTGCTGTCCATCGACTTGGAGGTGGTGTTCTTCCCCACTCCCATCCTTGTGCCTTCGACGTCCTCCTCCTCTTTCTCTGTCCCTCCTCTGTCTCGCTCTGGTGTGAACACTGCAGATGAATCCTTCAGTCCGATTACATCGTCCAGGACTGCCTCGTCTGCTTTGAGAAATAGAGACAGATAAAGAGAGAGATTATTATCTTGATTTATAACTTTAAGGGATCTAATATCCTGACTTCATTGTGAAGGTCTGATCACATCACACAGAGCCTAAGAGGCTGCCAGGCCTCTTGTTGATTAGAAAAACCTATCTCAGGTTTTGTTTTGTTTTTCTTCTCCATTGTGGACGACAGGAGTATGTTACCTGCAAACATTTATCATCAGTTGCTTCTTGGGCTGTTGTAGGTTTTTGGGTTGTTAAGCAGATTATTAAAGCACTTTTAAGACTCCCGTTTTGTCTCTGGAAACTTGACTAGGTGATTAACTAATCTTGAGCTGGGACTGCTAATCAGGTATTTTGATAAGTGATTAATAATGAAGTCATTTTTCAAGCGTACCTGCCAAGATTTAAGTGGCTCCAGCTTCTCAGATGAAAGGATTTGCCCACTTTCTTTGCCCCATGTTAAAGTAAACTGAGCATCTTTGGGTTTTGAACCATTAGACATAACTATCAATCTGAAGACATCACCTTGGCCTTTAAAAAAAGGATAATTATCTTTTTTGACATTTCACAAACCAAACAATTAACTGATTAAATAATTGGCAGATTAATAGATACTGAAAATGATTGTTGCAGACCTGCACCTATTGTTATCAAATAGTCAACAGATTAATTGAGAAATAATTTTCATGTTGCGAGCAGATCATTGTCTTGTGGAGACGAGAAGAAACGGGGCAAAGACAGAGATTACGCTAGTATTTGGAGAAAGAGTGAAACATGGACAATCTTTTGACAGAAGAGGAGCAGAAACAGCTGAGAGGTGATGAAAAAAGAGGCACATAAAAGGATTGGCAGTTTGTCCTTGCATGTGTGGTACTTTTGTTTGTGTGAAACTAAACAAAGCGACGCGACACTCTGAACCATCCCATTGTGGTTTTTAATAATTATTCACTGTCACTAGCACTTTGGTAATTTGCCATTACATTTATTAGAATCAAAACTATGAGAAAGTGAGAAGTTGCCAAGAGCTTAGTGTTGAGGTGTCTGCCGAACAACAACAAAGAGACAAAACGTGTCAACTGTAATCAAGTAAGGTGTTCCTGCATTTGGTCTCTGAACTGAAATTGCTTCTATACGTATAAGTGGAATCTATTTAAAATTAGCTACACTTTTAATGCTTGACAGCTTTGTGCGACTGAACTGTCATGGAGGGATTTTACATATGCATTTTGATCTCAGGGCCATTATTTATTAAACTCTAAAGTACCAATTTAAGAGTAAAAAAGTTCTTTACTGAATGTGAGTAATAAGACACATCTATCTAATGACTTCCTCCTAAAGGCAAGTGTAAAAAGTTTCTTAAGAGCAACTCTCAAGTGATCGCATCACTATGTGTTTACATATATAGTATATTCAGAGAAGGAACAGTCAATCAGAGATATAGAGTGACCACACATCTGCTGTATTGTATATTCTTGTAAATATATGTTGTTGCGGAATAGCATCACTTTTTCAGAAGTTCATGTTATGTGTGTGAAAAGTTTAAATCTCCTTGAATAATTAGTGTGGGAAATGTATACCAATCTAACAAAAATATAATGTATAAATAGGGATGTAATAAGAGGAAATTGGCTGAAAGGGAAACTAAATTCTGATATCCTGCTGTTGGTAGACGAGGTATGTCAGAAATAAAAGAGGATTTACAACCACACTGAGTGTAGACAAGTGCAGAAGTGAAGATGCTTAGTGCAAATAAAATTGATGCCAGAAAGCAGTGCACCATCCTATCAAACAGTCGAATACAAGTAATAAACTAACACTAGTCTATTCTTAGCTATAGAGCTTCAGTTATAATTATCATCAGACGGAAAACAAAGGCACGCTCAGCTCAGTTTCTGTACTGCAGCTCTGGAGCGCTGAAACTTCCAAGTTAAAAGAAGTCTGAGAAACAGCTTTTATTCATAAGTTTGGAAACAGGAGTAAAAGTGAAGGATTCTTACTTTCATCTTTCACTCAACTCTGAATTCTTACTTTCAGCATTTTTAAAAATACAGGCTTGAGTCTCTCTTATAAAAAAAGACATTTTGATCTAAAGGAGAGTTCCTCAACAAGTTAAACTGAAATAACTAACCAACTATTCTCTGACAAAAATTGCAGAATGGTTTGGTGTACAATATGTGAAAAAAAAATTAAAACTATTCAGTATAAAAGATAGCCACACAGTGGATGACTCAAGCTCAGGTTACATCTCCAACACCTCTGTCTGGAGTTAATAAAACTGTGAGCATGTTCACACGACGTTGGTCTTTGAACAACATTTTCTGATTGAGACAGATGGCATTAGGCAGCTCATGAACCATCACTTTAAATGAAACCACATCTCAAACAAATACTGTGCTAGATTCATCAGGGTCCACTGACAGGTTAACTGCAAAAGCAGTGTTGCAACACAAAAGACAGTTATACTGGATCACTGAGGTAATAATGTTAAATGTTTACTAAGCCTCTGAATAAAGTCTTACAGGTCAGTGAAGACTGAACTTGTTGGATCCAGTTTCCTTCCTCCCACTGCGATGAAAAGCGGTTTCATTATTTAAAAGGTCATCTCATTCATTACTTAGAAACCAAGTTACCAAACCAACTCCTTTTATATTACAGCATTAGAACCAATTAACTATGTACACGGTTGTTTGTATTATTCCTTTCCTTTGCTACCTGTTTTTAATTATGGGTTTGTATAGTACTGATATTAGGGCGGCGACATCCTTTGCTTTGTTTGTGCCTTTGGAACAATTAAAAATCCAATAAATATGAAAAAAAATGTTTGTGGAGCGCTTCTGTCTACAATCAATGTAATTCACAGGTATACTGGCTAAACCTAAGATCAAAATGACCAAATATACAGTATATTTTAAAAAAAACTCTTAATGCTAGTAAAAAAAAAACAAACAAAAAAAAAAACAATAAGACTGAATGATTCGTCATTTTAGATCAAAATCATGATTTTAAAAAAAGAGCAATTTTATAACTGTAAGAGCTGTGATTCTCAGTATAACTTAACTTTCTTACAGCTTGTTAAAACAGTTGTTAATAATGTGACTTTTGGCAGTGGCCATGGAGACTACCCAAAAAGGCCCGGAGATAATTTATACGAAATAATTTAAAGAAAAAAAAAAAAAAAAAAAAAAAGAGGGGCACATCCTAAAAGCCTTGGGCCTTAAAAACAGCGACCATAGAATCACAAATGCCCAGCTTGAGTTTTGATGCGTCATGTCCATCTCCCCTCACATTTCCTGTCTATAAAAGGCAACACTTGGCAATTTTTTTTTTTTTTTATGCCTTTTTTATTTGATAGTACAGTAGAGAGACAGGAAATGGGGAGGCAGAGAGAGGGGGAATGACACGCAGCAAAGGCTGTCTGATGAGGGACTCGAACCGGGGCCAACTGCAGCGAGGACTGTAGCCTCTACACATGGGGCGCCTGCTTAGACCACTACGCCACTCGACGCCCCTGCAATTTTAAATGTATTCTTTAAATTGTTAAGCGCAGATGTCTTTAGCAAAACTAGTAGACACGGCAGTACAGTATCTATTTTGTTCTAATTCCATGCTTTACTTGTGCATAACCGTGCATGTCAGGAACAGACTTTAATGGACATCTCAGAAGATGCCTACCTGGCATCACCTGTACTGTGCCTTGTCACCACCGTTCTTCTAGGTCACATTCCCTTTTCGTATATTTTTTTTTTCCCTGACCCCCAAAATAAAATAATCTTTTCCCATCCAGCCAGTCTCCCTGCTCTCAGTGTAAAATGTTGGGATAGGTGTAATACCTAGTTGACACATCCCATCACTCTTGTCAAGCTGGGCGGCTGGGAGCATCTGTGTGGAAGGGGCAAGAGAGAGGGAGAGGAGGAGGTAGAAGAAGAAGAAGAAGAAAAGAGGAAATAAAAGGAAAGAAGAAGAGATGGGGGAGGAGGCAGAGAGGAGAGAGGCAGAAGGGTAAAGGATAAGGAGGAGGAGGGAGGTGAGACATAAGTTAATTTGACAGACAGCATTTAATCACAAGCATAAGTTATTAGTGTGACCTATAGAGGGTGCAGGTGATTTTAGGGATAAAAGAGAAAAAAAAAAAGAAACCAGTCTCTGTCACAGGTGCTAGTCATGATTAACATGTTAATATTTGAAAAAGAGCCTTTAATAAGCCTTGTTTATGTTCAAGAAGTGATACAATCCTCTGGGTTATGCAACATGGTACTCATCAAGTTAAGATCTGGAAATGTGGCCATATCACAAAAAGGAAATCCACAGGGGAGGAAACATGAGCAGTCATATGATCATGCAAGTTTCAAACCAGGGATTTAAAGTCAAAATTACCTGAGGGCACCAGATATGACAAGAAAAATCAGCACAAGTCACCACATTCGATAAGCTTTAAGTAGCAAAATGTTCTAAACTAAAAATATCTAAAAAGATGAATCACTTATCAAAATTGTTGCCGATTCATTTTTTATGTTGACTGAATAATTGATGAGTTGACTAATTGTTTCTCCTGTGACACTGAGAGGATCATTAGCAGCAAATGTGTTGAAAAGGCCCACTATCATATATATTATATAACAGTCAAAGAGGTTATCTGAAAGGTTGCATGTGGGTTGAGTTTTTAAGTAACTTTATAACTTGTAAGCAGTAGATATGCAAATGTAGGTCTCGTAGTTGTTTGTTATTGGTTATAAACATAAGGTGAAACGTATCTCGACCAGTCCGTGTCCACCACTTCTTGTTCTATAAAAAGGGTTACTCTGACTCCGTGTTGTCGGGACAAGGAATGACACGTGCCACTCTTCACTCAGACAGTGTTTGTGTTTTCATTTCTGTGTTTGTGTCCAGTGCTTCACCAGAATATCCACCACAGGAAAAAATCAAATCAGGAAATAAACTTTAGAGAATTCAATCATTGGAGAATCCAATTTTCCCAATTCAATGAAGAATTATTAGCAA